TGGCGCTGGTACGGTCTTTCCCTGTTTGTATGTAGTGAAATTTCCTTAAAAGCCCTAATTCCGGCATTTCCTTATCTGCCCCTGGAGTCTAGCTGGGACCGTGACGTGATTATGCACTGCAGGAATCTCTGCTAACAAACAGCTTCCCGAAATACTCTGTTGAGAGCGTGACAAGGGGTCTGTGGGCCATGCTTCCCACTGCTCTGAGAGGCTGTGCTTTGTCCAGCTGGTCTGTGTTTTAACTGTGCTATATGCAGTCAGTCAAAGCCAGTTGCTGCTGCCTTTGTCATTATATTTCAGTGATGGCTAGCTCCCAAGGAAATCCTGTCCTGTGCAGGAAACTTTTGCCTTTGGTCTGTCTTCATTCTGTTTCCTGTGGAAAAGGGTTTAGTTTTTTAGTGTCTTCATGGATTAAAACCTAAAGTGAACTCTAGGCATGTTGTTCTTTTTAGCAGTTGGAAAAGGGGTACAAAGGAAACACTGATTTGAAAGTCTAGGTGCAAATATAGTGGCAGTTTTCTAACTTGATGGCAGATGTCCAAAATATGATGACTATCAGGCCAAAATGCTTGTGCGTTTGTGCTGGGAGGCAGGTTAATGTGCTTGCTTTATAATTAAGGAGTGTCTTTTTTTTCTTTTTTTTTTTTTTCCTTTTTAAGGGCATGCAGGTCGCTGGGACGCTGGTACTGGCTTTGTGCAAAGAGGCAGAAACAGAACAAATAACATGTCAGGCCAGGCAGCTAAGTTAGGGGGAAGTGCCCAAGCCAGTAATTATACTCTTCTACCTGGGCAAAGAGAGGAGAGATTTGGTGATCAGATTTGGAAGGTTCCTCAGTCCAGCAAGAATAAACCAAGAAACCAAGGTAGACAGGCCAACAGTAGAGCTGCAGGACACTGGAATGAACAGGAGAATGAGGGAAGGAGAATGAGATATCAAGGTGGACAAGCCCATGAGAGGACCCTGGAATGAGCAAGGAAATGAAAGTAGGGGAAGGTGGTATCAAGGTAGACAAGCTCAGGAAGAAGCTAGAAGGCTGAGGAATGGGCAAGAAAATTAAGGTAGGGAAGGGAGGATGCAGCCTTGGGAGAATCCTCATTTTCACCAGAACCTTATCCCGGGTGGGGCCCAGCTCAGTGAGCAGCCTCAGCAAACAAGAAGGATTGTCTATAAATTCCTGCAAAGTCTCCTCCAGAAAGACCCTTCACAGGTTGTCATCACACTTGCCTCCAGTTCAGGTTTGAAGGAACTTCTTTCCTAAACGGCTATGAAACCAAATTTCCTTCAGCTCATTTGCCAGGTGCTTCAAAAAGCATGCAGCTCCCGAATGGATAGACAGAGTGTCCAACAGCTTCTAGGAGTGCTGAAGGAGTCCTGCTTTCTCAAGATTTGTCTGCCACAGTATGTGTCTGACATGTTAACTGAAGCAATCCCTGCTGTACATCATCAGTACCCTTAGCATATTAGCAACATCCTTTCACTTCTTCAGGACCTGATCAGTATTTTCCCAGCCAGCTCTGTGCAGAAAATCTCCATTCTCTTGACAGTCTTGCCAGCATCCATAAATGCTCTGAGTGCTTCTGGTGTGGACATCACAGAAGAAACAGAAGAATCTAAATAAAGTCCAGATGTTTGTGCAGCACCTGCAAAAAAAAAAAGACACGAAGGCATGCTGAGGGCTGACATCTATACTCTTAGGCAGCTTCGGACTGATGGTCAAGAAGAAACATATCATACAATGGCCATTTATGCAACATACAATGAGGTGCCCCATGATGAGAAACCCTTTCTCTGTCCAAATATTGTTATGGGAAGATATGACAGCACCAGCATTTATCTTGACACCCATTTCCAGCTTTTGACAGAAGACTTTGTAAGGCCTTTAAGGGAAAGTATCTTGGACCTTTTGCAGAGCTTTGAGGACAAAGGTTTGAGAAAGAAAAAATTTGATGATATTAGGATCTACTTTGAAATATGGATTATTACCCCTGCCTGTTCCCCAACTGGAACTGTTTACAAGGCCCAATTTGATAAAAAAACATTGAAGTTTGTACGATGGCAGAATTCCAAATGGTTGCTATACAGTTTATCCCTTTCATTCCCAGGCATATACACATTTCAGAAACATGGGATGGTGCGTGTTGGGGGCAAAAGTAGCAGTGAGGTCCTGAAGCAATTCACCTTGAGGGAGCTGAGGAAGAAATGTGAATTTCAGTACAATTTGCCAATGCATCCCTGTAGAGCTTACGCGAATGTAAATGCAGATGTCACTGGAGATGATGGGACTGGGTTGCCTGTGCACTGGAGGAGCTAACTAAGCTTCCTCAACATCTATTCTTTGACCTTGTCTTACACTGAAGTCAGCTCCTTAATTCTTCTATCCTTGTTCACTTTTTCAGTTTCTTGTCCTGCCATTTCTGAACTTTGTTTTTCTGAGTATGATGATGCCTTCTTTCTCTTTGTCATGAGTGACATGACAGTGAGATGAAACAGGTTGAGCAGGAGCTCCATGAGGGAGCGAAGCATTTAGAATGCACAACATACTGAGTTCTGCATGAGCGCCACTTGGAAGCATGCATCGCACCCCAGCACTGGGACAGTCTTGATGAGTGGTCTGGTAAGAGAGGTCCCCTTCTTCTGAGTCCCAGTGTATACTTAGTACCCTGTAACTTTCGGCTAATGAGTCCACAAAGCACACTTTTTTTTTTTAGCATTGCTTGGCTACTAGAAAAGGGAGGGATGTGCCAGTGAGAGTAGCCTGGCCTGAACTGGGTGGGGCAGGCAGGGGCTTTAAATTTTGCTCCTTTAAACTGCAGAGATTCTAAGTAATCTTTATAACCATAAAAATACAAGTGCCCAGATGAAAGCCTTCTAAACTGAAGGGGAGGAAGAATGCTCCTTCTGAAGATCTGAGGCTGCTCAGACTTTCTAGCTCTGGAGGTCTCTCGGGGACTGTCCTAGTTGCCTGCTGCTGCAAGGTGCTGTTATGGCATCATCCTAAGACTCTGAAGTGCAATAGGCCTGGCTGATTTGACTTTCCTTCTATTAGGAAGGTGAGGAGTTTTACTACAGTGCTTCACAACACTTAATGATTCTGGAGCGACTGGGCCCTGGTGTAACTGTCTTTACTCAGAATGCTGTAGCGAATATAGGGGCTGAGAATCCAGTTAAAAAAACACACAAAAAACCAAACCAAACCACCACCACCACAACAACAAAAAAATCCCCACCATGAAAATCCCTCATCCTCTATAGCTGTGTTTGCCTAAGCAGTGCATGTGTGCCAGAAACAACACTGCCACACAACAGACACTGGAAGATGCATGAGGTTGTAAAGTAGCAGAAAGAAGATTAACCTTAATTTCCACATAGTGATCAGACTGCTGGACTGTAGATCTGCTAGAGTGGCTGTAGCTTACTATATGTGACTGGTGACTCTCACAGGTGGTCAGCAGGGGAGAGAGTAGGAGTGGGAAGGTGAAGCAGAAGGTGGCCTTTTGGAGATCCTGGAGGAGGTTGACCTGATTCAAGCTGACAGAGTGATTGAGTGTGAAGAGGCAGCAAAGCCTCAAGGAAGAAAGGAAGAAGAGCACAGATCTGTTCATGAACTAGCCAACATGCTGTTGGCTGTGAAGCTGGAGGACCAGGAAGAAGGAACAGCCCAACCACAACAGAAGACTATGCAGTGGGAGGTAACTGCACGCACTAGCATGCTCTGGCTCTGCTTGACTGGGTAAAGAATAATATGGGGGTGCTAATAGAGAAGAATCTTTGTGCTGTGACTGTTTATTGGAGAGATTTTGTTTTGTTTTTTTTTTCCTGCAGATAACTGTGGCCCAGAGGAAGAAAATTAAACAGAAGATGAAGGTTGAACTCCGTAAACTGCATGCAGTGACGGAGTTAGAGGCAAAGGCTATTTAGGATCTGTGGCAACTTGACCTGAGCTCCTGCCAGAGGCTTTACAGGTGACAGAGCCATTTTGCGGGGTCTGTCAGGCAGATGTTTCCTAGGACTGTTCCAGTTTGCAAACTTTTTCTGTCAAGCCACGGTGTTTCTGTCCATATATCTCTTCAGCTTCTTATTTGAACATGCTTGTTCTTACCTTTCCTATATTGCAGGAAAGTGCTGACAGTGCTGTCATCTCTACTGTGTGTGCTCAAGATTAAGTACTCATGATAATATTATCTTGCCCAAAAGACGTGGAGGAAGTTTTGAAATGAATCCACTCAGAGCTTCTGGATCACCATCCTGTTCCCCTTGCTCTGTGTGATAACGGCACTTTCTTCTCAGGCTTTGGCTGCAGACCTATCAGGGGTTTATTTGATGGAGGATTCTGCAGAATGAGCAGCAATATCAAGCAGCCACAGAAAGGCTGACAGAACTGAGGCTGCAGGAAGATCTCTGCATTCTCGAGCAAGGCTCAAATTGTGGGGGTGACAACTCCAGGGGCACAGCAGTTGGGAAGCAAAGCAGTATTGTGCTCCATCTGATAATGGTTAAAAGATGTTGTTCCTGAGAGATTAGTATCATGTGCTGCTTGACAGCCTGGGTCAGGCTCTGCATTAGTCTGCAGCCTTCTTAAATGTGGCTACTGTGCAAGTTGTCAGTTAACTGCACGGTTTCTGAGCGCTCTTACTCTCCCTCCATCTCGAGACTGTATCTAACTTTGATATTTAGCACTGATGCAGGAATCCAGTCTCTGGCCTTTCTATGGGAGATCAGTGACCAAAAAAAGAGATGAGTGAAAAATCTTGCTAATACACAGGAAAATTTCTAAAACATGGACCTCCTATCCTTTCTTTTTCAGTCGCGGCCTAGTGCAAATGTGTATGACCAGGCCAAGAACTTCAGTCTGGAAGTCTCTCTCTTTGACTGGTTGGTGAAAGTCAATTTCCCCTTTGTCTGTCTGAAATAGCAAGTGAGGAAGAGCTGTAAAAAACTACACTGCATTTGCATTTAGCTTGTTTTAAGTTCGTAGTACACTTAAGTTTCTTTTCTCTTATGCTGCTCTGAGAGTAGAAATATAATGTGCTAATTAATTCCCAACAGGAATGGTAAGAGCTGCCAGGCTGCCACAGTGTTCCAGTATGTTTCCAATTATTCAGTGATGCACTGTGGTGCCCACATGTTTTAGTGCAATAAACATGGTTTATTGTGGCATCTGTAACTTCCAGAACTCTGGAAGCCTGACAGCACAAGCCTTCTCAGTCTGCTTCCTCCTCAGCTGCTATAATCATCTATCTTGGTGCTTGGAGAAGTTAATTCTACCTGTTATTAAAACTGAGCTAGAAGAGCTCAGGTAGTGGTTAGGGTAAGGTGCTGGCTTTTTTATCTAGAACACTGTTACTAGAATTGCGCTGAAACCAGCATTTTTATTACAACAACCTTGCCAAATTATTTTCTTGAAGATACTCTACTGCTATTCCCCCTGTAATTGCTGGTGGTGCTAATGATGGGGCAGGGGACTATGGGGACTGGGAGGTGCTCTGTTCTTGACTCATCCTGGAAAGTCATCCTTGTCTTGTATTCAGCCACAGTCTGTACACTGAAACATCAGAATATTGTCAGGGAAATAGGTGCTCTTTCGTCAAGACTGCTAAAGCTGCTTTTTGTTTCAGCACTACATGCATCCTGAAATTGCCTGACTTCTCAGTCCTCGTATATACCAGGAGCTGGACAATCATCCCTCTGTCCTGAAGTATGAGACATAAAAGTGAGTTTTCGGCAATCCCCTGGTTTTGTTCCCTGTTAGTGGCTAAAATGAATTTCTGTAAAATATAGTGTTGAAGGATTTCAAATTCTTAGATTAAGTTCAGGTACTGAAACTTATACCTGAATCAAAGAAATGTGTGATAGAGAATTAGACAAGTAATTTGTAGTTCTAGCATTGGTGATGGTGGACACTGAAAATGAATCCATAGTGATGACTTTAAAAGAACAGTGAAAAATGGAAGGGAGACTGAAAGAATTGTAGGATATTGAAAGCTAGGAAGAAATCCTAAATGAGAGACTTACAGCATATTATGTGAATCTCCAGTGTAAGGTAAGTGACTTGATTACTGGAGCCCTCCTTCCTCAGGGTCTCTGTGCATTTTACCAATATGCAACATCTCCAAACAAGATCTGTTCAGCTTAAAAGTATAAAGCAATCACTTATTGGCTAACACGCAGAATAAACAGCTAGAATTTAGCAAGTGTAAGCATTAGTATGCTTGCCACACCATAAGACGCTTGAAGAGTCTTTGCTAGAGTGAGGCAGGTACCAGTCAGAATATGTCAGCCTCTGCTTCTTCCTTGATTTTACTATCTATCTCAACTCTGTTTTCCGATTTGTATTTCCCTACCCTAATTAGGTCTTCATACCTCTCCATGTTGGTGCTTTTCTTGCATCTTTAAACTATTAACAATCATATCTGTATTTTTAACTTTAACTTGCATAGTCCTGTTCTGCAGGCTTGCTAGCAGCTCTCTGTCACAACTTAACTCAGGAGTCTGAGTCAAGATTATGCTGCTATGCTGTATCAGAGCTAGGCCTTGGATCTCTGAAACACAAGCAGCTGAATACTCTGAGAGAAAGAACTGGAGGTAGTTACAGAAAGACGATTACAGTGGCTTTGCCTACGTAAATCTCTCATCATGTAAAGCCAGTAATAATCAGTTAAAAGATGTTTGACTGGATGAGGAAAGCATACTGAAAACTATAGCAGAATGTTGAAGCCAGACAAGAGAAAATTAATACTGAAGATGATTTATTTAATTACCAGAATAATCTCTCTGGGATAGTGGCTGGTATCTTTTGGTATCTTGCAATCCAGATCAAATATGTTGTGGAAGATGCTTTAGTTAAACAAAAGAACAAAAAAAAAAAAAAAAAAAAAAAAAAAAAAAAAAAAAAAAAAAAAAAAAAACCCAAAAACAAACAAACAAAAAAAAACCACACACACAAAACCCACAAAACCAAAAAAACCCAACAAACGCCACCCTCACCCCCCAAAAAAGGGGAAAAAACCTCAAAAGCCCCCAAACCAAAACAAGCAAAACCAAACCCCAGCCAAAAACAAAACCCACATCCAGAATGCAATGTAGGAGATCATAGATTTTTACTGCATTTCTCCTATGAGAAGCTATTTTGGAGAATCTTCCATCTGGAAGATCCCATCTGGACTTAAAGCAGAGATGTTATACCAGAAAGCATCAAAATTCAATCTTTTCCATCTACTACAATAACCAGTGTAGGCAACCACTGAATTCAGTTGTACGGTAGTGGACACTGCAGTATGGATATCGTGGGAAAAGAGAGATCTGTGTTCAATCTAAAAAAACCTCGTTCCTGATAAAAAGGAAAGAAGTCTCTGGGTTTTGGCACACAGCCCAAGAATTTCTTGTGGGTAGAAGAATTCCTGTTAATAGGCAGGAAATAAAGGTCCCCACTAATTCAAGGCAAATGGAATATTTGAACAGGTGAGTAGACAACTCTACATCCCTGGAGCTGGTAAGTGACTACTGGAGTCTTCAGTGTTCTTAGTTTTCCTGGTGGAAAAGCAGTCTTTGTTTTTACTGCAGTAACAGAGGTGGTATGTTTTTTACTAGTAGTTTTAGGCAAGTGCTAAGCCCTCTGCACTGATAACTAACTATCTTTGGCCAAAACAAGACATTGTTCACACCATGAACGTGAAATGGAACTATGATGCTTTGAGAAGCGTTACTAGCACTTAATCTTCTCTTTTTCTATAACCTGAAAAGGTACAGTAGAAGCTACTCTGATGTCTGTCTGAAAAGATAGGGAGTAAAATCATCCACAGGCACTGATTTCATCTTAGGATACTGAAATGTCACTAATAAGCTGAAATGTGATTAATAAATTTAAATTCTTATCTGATGAATACACTTTGGAAATCTAAGGGGAAGATACCTAAGTACACAGTAACTGCATACTGCAGTCCTCTCCGTAAGTTTCCTTCTTAGTGGTTAACCTTGGACACAGAAACAGGCTGCAGTGACAGAAACTAAAATTCTGTTTCTGACATTCCTTTCTCTTGTTTCAGGGGGTCTTACCTCTTCTTTATGGAACGTGACTTTCCTGAGCAAGAGATCCACGAAGGAAAAAGCCACCAGAATCCACGAGGCCCAGTTTCTAGTGGACCTGTGCAAAATAGTTCTTGTGTCAGGATTATCTACCTTCTCAGATCGCCATTCTCACTACTTATACTGGACAGCTTTTCTGTCTGTGTAAGCTCATGCCAGCCAAGATCTTTTCAGGTGTGAAGGTTCATATAGTAGATAAATACCAGGGGGAGGAGAATGATACTATTCCGCTGTCACTTGTGCAGAGCAACAAAGAAGAGAGAACTGGCTTCTTGCAGATCCCTCATTGGATATGTGTAGCATTATCCAGAGCTAAGAAAGGGCTGTATTGCATTGGAAATATGAGAATGCTTGGGAAGGTTCCTCTGTGGAGCAAGATCATTCATACCCTTTGGGAGAAAGGTCACATTTGCCACTTATTGGTGCTTTACTGTCGAAACCATCCTGAAACCAAGACACTAGTATCTACTGCAACAGAATTCAGCAAGGTCCCAGAAGGAGGCTATAGCTGTCCCTGTGAATTTAGGTTGAGTTGTGGACATATTTGCCCAAGGACCTGTCACCCATATGACATACAGCACAAAAAGTATCAGTATCTGAAGCCTTCTGGATGGGTGCTTTGTGCAAATGGGCTTTGCTGTCCACTGTCATGTTATGAGCCCTGTGGACCATGCATGGTGATAATGCAGAAAACTATTTTTAAGTGTGACCACATGCAGATGGCGACCTGCTTCACTCCAGACAGTGAGTTTCCTTGTTGAGAACCTTGCCAGGAAAAGTTGAACTGTGGGCACTCTCGCAACAAATTCTGTGGGCAGGCATGCACAGAGCAATGTCCTGAGCTGGTTATAGTAGTCACACTGAAATGTGGCCACAAGCAGCAAGTTAAATGCTGGATCACTGAGGAGATAAAACATGAGAAGCCCATGGAATATAAAACTAAGTGTTCTGTCAAAACTGGTCATATATGCTCAGGTTCCTGTCATACCTGCTTTGAAGGAAAATTTCATAAGCCATGTAAAAGCCTGTGCAAGTGCTTCTTGGTTTGCTCTGAAAAGTGTCAGCAGCTTTGTACTACAGAACGCCCTCTCTGTCAGCTGGAATGTCAAAACCACTGCACCCACAGTAGGTGTAAAAAGAAATGCAGAGAGAGCTGTCTTCTGTGTGCTGAGCCATGCGAGTGGTAGTGCCAGCAGTACCAGGGTACCAAACTTTGCTGTGAACCATGCAGTAGACCTTGCTGCAATGTACTATGTGCCAAGCTACTGTGCTGCAGTCATCCTTTTATTGGATTTTGTGGAGAGCCCTGCACAAAGAAGTGCCTTGTTTGTGACCGTGAGGAACTCATCCTGATCTTTTCTGGCTTCGAAGAAGACCAAGATGTACAGCTTGAAGACTGTGGCCGTATCTTTGAGTCCCAAGGCCTTGACCATTAAATGGAAGAAGATGATGATGTCATCAAGCTGAAGGTATACCCTATCTCTTACATACCCATCAGAAAGAATGTGAGATATGGCACCATTGTGAAAAGGTGGCTCAATGAGATAGAAAAGGTGAAAAAGAGAAGCCGAGGCCTAGCACAGGAAGCCGAGTCTAGCAAAGACTGCAGGCTGCACTTGCAGGGAATGCTGTTCTATGCATAGGAGTTCTTAAGTATCTCATGCTGCAGGATAAACTAAAAGCTGATGATCTCTCTACAAGGAGTATCAGACTTCTACAAGCGTGTATCATACCTAACCAATTCTATAAGCAAAATCGATGCAAGTGAGAGGAGGAGGCTGAGAAAGCGGCTGGATGAAGTCCAGGGGTGGCTGGATAAGTTTTACAGCTCAGTTTTACAGCACAGGAGCTCTCTGACCTGCAGCCTGAGACCTGGAAAAGTGCAGAGGGGCAAGTGCAACAATCGACCCAGCGCTTGCAGCAGAGATTGCCAGTGCCTGTGAGATCGTGGAAGGGACAACGAAGTTCACAGAGAAAGATGAGGGTGCTGCGAAGGCTGACCTGGAGAGGCTTTGCACTGCCTTGCCTGTGTCAGGATTGGAGCAGGTGCAGATTGTCAATGCTATTGGCTGTCCACCTGGAGACTGGTTCAAGTGCAGCAATGGGCATATCTGTGTGATTGGGAACTGCGGGGGGACAGCGGAGAGGAGCAAGTGCCCCGAGTGCCACACAGTCATCGGCGGAACAAACCACGCCAGGTATATTTGATCTGCATTCATCATGTTCAGAAATAACACCCCCGCCTCTGAGATGAACTGTGCCACCCACGCAGCCTGGTCTGAGGCGGCCAACGGCCTGCTCAACGCGGGGAGCTGCGCTGGCGGTAGCGGCTGTCGACGTTGCTCCTGCTCCCCTTGCTCCGGGGACGCCACTAACAACGTACCGGGGC